GCCTGGCGGCCGTCGCCAGCGAAGGGGGCTGACTAGGAGGGTCGCTGAGAGCCTGTAGCCCACACGTCACATGGAGAACCCTTTGGAAGGGCGAAAAAACCCCCACCCTGTTATCACAGCTACGTTCTGTGCTGTACTTGTGCAGAAAAACTCGGGCTTGGAGGAAGAGCTCCTGGTATCGACACAGACTATTTTAGACAGAAACTTGAGTACAGCATGGACTTGTACATAGTTGGCATTGTGCAGGGCAGCCGCATTACACTTGAGGTTTGCAGTGTTTATGCCCCTTCCCTGTCACTGCTTCCATCGTCGATTTGTGCCGCCTTCATCTTTGCCCCAGGGTTAGCATTTAGGCTTTTGCTTTTTCACTTTGTTCCATCCATCTATCTTCAGGCTTGCACGGAAACTGTTGTGACAAAGCATTATTTTTACAGTACCTTGCTTTTAATGGTCATGCATCCTACTAGTGAGGCAGGTGTTACCTGTGCAGAACTCTGGAGGAGAGTCTTTCCTTTCCTTCAGGTATCTGGCTCATTCCTTACCCATACTTGGACAGATCAGACAGTAGCCTAGTTTAATACAAAATCTTGATTCGTTCCCCCCACTTATATAATTTTAGAAAAAAATCTGTATTGGATAATTGTACATTTAATAGTACCATTTTACTTTTCTTTGCCTGTTGAAGTGACTGATTTTGGCACATAGAGTGTTGCCCTTTGACTTTTGCACTAGATGCTGCTCAGTCGCTGTTCAGTGTAGCTCGCATGCGGGGCACACCTCACATGACCAGAAGCTGGCTCAAGCACTGAATACCTAAACCAAACAGAGTGGTGGGTGAGCACACAGTACTGCAGCCAAGATTGCCAGGTTCCGCGTATGCCCTGTCCCATCCCATCCGATGGTGATGTGAACTGCTGAAGACATTTTCACTTCCTAGCAGTGAATTGCTGCCAGCGCTCCTCTTCATGCAGACTTCCTGCAGTGGCACCTTGTTTCTGGCATGCAGTGTATATGATCAGGAAGATTGGATGCTTTTGTAAGAAGTAAGGTTTTTTAGACTTGTTTTGATTTCAGGAGGAGGTTACCCGTTACACATCTCAAGATTTGTCCTTAATTATAAATGTAGCAGAAAAACAGTGTTAATATTTTACATTCTTGCACTCTAAATATTCTTGTGTTTTAATAATCTAACATATGCTTTTACTGACTGCTAATTTGAAGTTATTTTTATATTAAAAAAATACTAAGTTCACTGTTATCCGCTCACAATTCTTTTTGATAGTCGGACGCAAAATGAAGGTCATCCAAAATGGTTCGTTCTGGGTGTTGGACAAGTCATAAAAGGGTTAGATATTGCTATGATGAATATGTGTCCTGGAGAAAAACGGAAAGTGATCATTCCTCCGTCATTAGCATATGGACAGCAAGGATACGGTAAAAAAGAAGTCTTAATACTAAACTCTGTCTTTCCGCTGTTTTACCCTTTCAAACATACAGTATTGTAAATTACTAAGAATTGGTGCTCCATTATTTTTGGAGGCTCTGAAGGTGTTGACTGTAGCTGTGCAGCCTAATCCTGCTCATTCCTATGCAGTGTAAGTAATCCTCATCATAGACCCACACCCAGGCCTTGCAGTTTGCAGTAGAATTCCGTACATGGCACTCAATGTGTTTTTCCAAGTATTGCCATAATACGAAAAGTTGACAGCAAAAGGAAGATTTTCATAATTCATACCAGCACTTTTTGTCTTAATCTTTTATATTATATTCATGTTTAGTTTCTATTATTTGACTCCTACCTGCTTGGCCTTTTAATCACATTCTGCATCTTCAGAGCAAAATGGAATGTAATTCAGTGCATGCCACAGAATTAATTGAAGTGGAACTAATTTGTTTGAAATACTGCTTACATTCTGGATAGTTAATGGATGGTACCATCACATTACATAATAATTGCAACAGTACAATACATGAAATCTGATTTGAGTTTATGATGCTTAAGTGTGCAGTCTGCTTTAAAAAAAAGAAGTTCCAGTAAGAGTTTATGCAGTGTTTCAGCACTCTTAATTGTAGATAACTTAAATTCATCTCTGACTTGGGTGTAGTAGTCTCTGTGAAAAGATGGCTCCCGCTCTATAATAATTGTTTGGCAGCGATACTATGTCAGAATTCCATGCACCAGTTCTGTCTTTCATACAATTCCATTGTAGCCAGTGAAGTTTACTAGGAATAAGTTTTTCCCCTTGAGCATAATGTTTAATAAGTAAGTCTCATAACAACAAGGCAAAACACTGACACAAATAAAAGTATGTTCGTTAACACTAGTGTTAACTGTTTGTTCTAGGTAGCGCTTCAAGAAAGTACTATTTTCCTACAGCATACTTGTCCTCTGTCTCAGCATATTCCTGCATGCTGCGGAAGATGCCTGCCTAATCTTGAATTAGAAAAGATGCATGTGGCTTTCTAAATCTTTACATCTTTTTCCTTTGTTGGTATGTATATTTGTAAACTACTGGCACTGAACTCTAGTAGTGTATCTTTCTTTCATAAGTAATATACAAACCACGATTTATATTCAGATATATTTAAAACTTCTACATTTTTAAAGCTCATAAGATTAAAATATTTTGAATTCTGAAACCTGTCTTTTTTACTATGGATATTTTAGATGAGTAGTGTGAGTAATAGTTTTTACCTTCTGTTTATAAACAAAGTAGAGTCTTCAGTTTTTCTTCAGTTTATGAAGGATGGGCACAAGCTCAAAATTCTGTCAAAATTCTATCAAAATTCCGAGGTTACAATGTCATGTTCGCTGGCATTGGCTATGAATAGAAGCAACTTGCATGTTTACATTTTCATTTTACAGTGCATGATTTCTTGATGCTTTTTTGGGACTACTTTTAAACCTCATTAGTTTGTTACTGTCTCTCTTCAGTTCCTTTTTTTCGCCAGATGCATGATAATTGACCTTTGATTATAGGCAGTGGTGTTTTTACATCAGGTACCAGAAAATGCTTTGACACAGGAATAATGAAGTCTAACATAGGGTTTTTTTTTCTTCAGAGACCAAACAAAATATTCCAGTAGCTTGGGGCTTTTTTTGTAAATCAAATGACTTACATTCTATTGCTTCCTTCTAGTGGGATGTATATTTTAAACACTATTTTTACATCAAGTCCTTTAACCATAGGTATAATTCATAGTAAGTTGTTAAAACCTGATATTGCTTGCTTGTTTCTTCAGACAGAAAATACGTACGAGCATTGGTCTATTACTGTAATCTTTTACATCAAATTGCAGATACTTAACGAAAGCATATGTCTTAGAATCAGTTTCTCAATAAGTCCCATCATATGACAGTATGTGAAAGAGTGAGAACTTTAGAAATACTCATTTTTCATAACACAAGCCCTTCTCTTAATTTTTAGAAGTACCTGAATTGATATGAGCAATATTATTTTGTTTCAGGGAAGTATATTGTTGGCAAATCTCTCTTAAGTTATTTACCTAACACAATCTGAACAATCTTCATGTCTAGCTGTTATTTAAATTCAGAGTTTAATCGGAATATTAACACAGCCTTTTTTAATTAAAAAATAAGATGCTTTACTTGTGAACTTATCATATATGTGATCTCTGACCATAGTGTCTGATTTCTTAAATGCTTTTTTTTTTTTATTCACAGCACAGGGCAAGATTCCACCCAATGCAACATTGATCTTTGAGATTGAACTTTATGCAGTAAATAGGGGACCTCGCAGCGTTGAAGCATTTAATCAAATAGACAAGGACAGTGACAAGAAACTCTCTGAACTTGAGGTAATATGATGTAACTAATTTAGAATAAATAATTTATAAAACTATAGGTATAGTTGCATTAGTGTTATCTTTACATGAGCTGCCTCTGCTGCTGTTCATCATGTAAAGATTCTGTGTACTTACACAAACTACACTGTGTAATGTTGAAATTTGCTTTATTAATACATTAGTGTATCTCAGAATTGCTGGGAAACAAACTTCAGACGTGTCTGCACTGGAGTCACAATAACTTATGTATATACCCCAAGTGTCCTTGAAGATAGCTGTTGAGTACTGACATAAAATCCACCATGGTTGGACTTTTTTCTTTTCTTCTAGATAAGCCAGTATTTGAAAGAAGAATTTGCAAGAGATGGCAAAAACCGTCATCCCTCAGTCCATGATGAAATCTTAGCTGATATATTTAAGAAGAATGACCACGATGGAGATGGTTTCATATCAGCAAAGGAGTACAACGTCTACCAGCACGATGAACTCTAAGCACTTAAAAAAATATTTGGCTGATTTCCGGGCACTGAATTTTTAATAATAATATTTCATCACAGATTTTTTTTTTTTTTTTTTATAGTGGCATCTTTTTATATCTCTTAAGGTGACTGTAAAAAAAAATCTTTTTTTTAACATTCAACTAATAAAATGTGTTAGCTATTTCAAAAGAAAGAAATAAAATTGGAAAACACCATGATCTATTAGTAGTTCCTGCGTCCTAATCTACAGTATTGCTCAGTAGTCTTTCTCATTGTATAAAATACTGATGAAAGTAATTATTTCTGTCCTATCAAGCACACAAAAATGGTTCCAGTACCTGTTGACAGCTAGAATATAACTGATGAATACTTCTAAATCCCACTGTAAAATAAAAGGGGAAAACAATCCCAGGAAGGTAACTTGGTTAAACCTCTGCAGGCTCCTAGGCTAGCTGCTTGAAGCATTACCGTTTGCAGCAAATTTAACTATAAAATTTATTTAACTTAAAATAAAAGAACACTGTCTATGGAATGTCAAGATAAAATCACAAACGTTTATAAAGCAACTTAAAATAGCTTCTTTGATGTAGTAGTAACATGAATAACTTGGTGTTCACGAAAAAGCAGTGTTTTAAGTGGGTTTTTAAACTTTGACTCAGTAAAATTAAGTTGGCCAGTTTATTCAGCAGCGCCAAGTTAAAAATCTACACTGTCATGATTTACTTAGATGAGGTGGGAGATACTCTATATAAACATAAGTAATTGTTTGGGCATTGTTCTGGTTTCCCTCACTTTGGAAAAATGCAAAGAAGTAGCAATAGTTAACAGACAGTACTTTGGGCTAGTTAACTGTTCTGCTTATGCAGATGACATCGTAATACTTGTATAACACACTTCACTCTTCTCATGTGAAAAATAATGGCTATATTCATTTCAACATGTAATTAATGTAGTTGCCATCACAGATGTACACAGTGAAAGTGGCAGCACAAGCAAAAAAGCTTCCATACCTGAGTTGTCCTTAAAATCATTCTAACACAGCTTCAACAGTATGCTAACCGACAGCACCCCCAGTGTCGTTATTGGACACAATTCTGTAGTGCCCTCTGGTGTTTATATTCTCAACGGACTTCATTTTCTGTGGTTGAGATTACTGGTTAAAGACCTTCAGCCCTGAAGTCTTGTTGGAAGGATGTAGTTCTGTTATTTTCGTAAGCTTCTAAAACATTTTCTGCTAAGCAATTTTTTTCTGAACACATAAAGTCAAGAGCAGCTGTGACCTAAAATGCAAATGCAGAAGGTGGACTGGCTGGTACTTTTTAGAAATTTAAACAAACTTTTGATGTATGGTAATGGCATCCTAATATGGGATGCCTGTCCCTAGTTTTAGTTGTTCCCTTTTGTAAATGAAATGTTAGACTGAGCTAAGTTTTAGCATGTTTTTTAATCTGATACTTAAATTAAACATTCATGAGAACACTAAATTATTAACAAATATTCTCATTTTACTATCATATGCCAGTATAGATAAAGGCAACATTTGGGCGTTCAACAGGAAGTTTGTGTAAACAACTTAAAGTTCTAGCGTATATTTTGACATTATGACAATGCTGGTTAAAAGTACATTTCTCATGATAATGAAAGGAAAAGGTTCTAGAAAGAAGAAAAGCAGATCAAGGAACGCATGAGGGAATTTTCAAGTAAAAGATCATTGTGAAGCAAATAATTTTAAGATAATTGTGTAATAAAATGTTTTGCACTTTCACTGTTTTGCATTTCAACAGTTTGAGTCATATTTACTAATTCTGAAAAGTCTGTGGCACAGTTATGCCCGTGTCTGCGACAAAAGGCACTTACCTAGCTCAGTTACTTTACTCTCTTATGCCAGAGATCAAAACAGGGCACAGCATGCAATCGTACGTACTTTTGTCCATTAAAAGAGCACTCCAGGCATCCATAGACTGTCTCCCTTTTAGAACTTCCCATACCACAAAGGACGCAGGGACCTTTGGGGATGTTGTTATTAAGTAAATTAATTCGGATATGAGACCCTTCTCTGAGATAGCTTGTAGAGAGATCAGTCATGCTCGCAGCTTTTTCATAATAATCTGTAAAAAGGTCCTCCAAGTAAGCATCAGAGTTAGCAATGGTATCCACTACTCTTTCATCTGAAAAAGAACACACACAAAAAAAAGAAGCAATGATTTGTCATTACATTATGTACTGTTTACAAAACAACCCATCAATCTAATTATGGAAATAACTGGTCCATGAAACCATTCTAAACATGCCACATTGTAGATTACTGCCCATCAAAAGCCCTGTGTGTTTTTAATTTCACAGAAGACACTGAAAAAAAGCCAGAAGTTTTTTGTATACAACCTATATAATTACAATATTTTTAGAAATACACCTAAAAGATAGGTATGAGGCAAGCTTTTGAAAAATTGGTGCCAAATCAAATCCGAGCTGCATACTTTCCTGTTTAACCATTTTCATTTTTGCATTTTTAGTGTTTTATTTTCTAAAAATCATTAATTCACTTTTTTCCCTAGTATTTACAAAAAAGCCCACCAATACTTCAAAGGTGTAGAAAATTTGGAGGACTCCATGTTGACCTCCTAGCAGATTTCTGAGCATCCAAACACCCTAGGAAGAAATCACTTTTGTAACTACCTAGCTTTTTCCCTTCTCCTTAGGGACTGTTTAGTTTAGATTGGATGACAAACATTTAGGCAGCTACAGCTACTGAGATGTATCATACCCACAGAAGACTTATTCCCTTAGTGTGGACTGGAGCAGCACTGAAGGCTTGGTCCTTAAAAGCCCTCTGATCAAGAACGGGATACAAATGGGGCAAGGACACCTATACAGAGCAGCCTTTAGAAGGATGAGTTTACTGCTCAACATTTACCTTCACACTCATATTTGCAGATTTCCAAAATACTTAGACCAAGAAGTGTTAAAAGAATAGGATCTTGTTCTGAAGAAAATATAGCTACATACAGTGATACTCAGTTTTGTTGGATGTTGTCTTCATATCAGAATGAGAAAGGAGAGCTATGATGGTATCATCTTGCCCATGTCCCTGCCATGTGAACATATAGCCTAAAGAGCACATCCAAATATTTAAATCAATATTGTTTGATATTTAAACTTAAAGTGTTTGCCTTGAAATATTAGTTATCGATTACAACTTCTATTGCATTACGCTAGCTGTAAATGGCAAGCATATGAAACAGGCTTAATGTTAACTGGATTCAGTTGTATAATTACTCCGTACCAGTTTGTCATCAGCCATAAATTTTTATTTTAAGACTGCTAGAGTTTTAATGAACAGGAATACTATAAACTTGTTATTTGTGAAAAAGTCAGATTCTCAAATATAAAATTTAATAATTTTACAGTTATTCAATACATGCAAAATTGAGAGGTACATTTTCCATCCAAACTCTCTTCGTTAAACATTCATCTTGCATACAAATTAAAGAAATAAAAATACACTCTTCATGCATTAACTAAGACATTTGGATATAAATATGAAAAGTCATACTTCGATGAAACAGATTACTCTTCAACCTCCTTAATTTGGTCAGTGAAGATGATCCAGATTTCTCTTTTTCAAATCCTCCTTTTGAAATTGGAGTTACACAGAGTTCTGTAAAAATTAAAAAATAAGTTTTTAGAACAAAATAGAAAAGCAGTAATTGCACAACAGAGTTTAATATGCTTTCTAATCTATAAAACTAACAGTGATTACATTCAACTTTGCTAATGTTTTTAATGGCTAGTACCACTTTTTAATGGTACAAGTCTGCACACAGTAACAATTCATAAAATTAAGTGACACAGATTCAATGGGAATTTTAAAATGTTGCTGGCTTTCAACATACATTGTCAGAGTTTGTTTCGGTTTATACACAATTTATGGCCATATGGAGGAACTAAGACAGTCAATATCATATAAATGGAAGCCCCACTTCTGAAGGAGAAACATTGCTATGAGCTCAGGTGAAACTAAAAATGAAAAATAATACGCAAGGCTGTGAGTTCTGTAGTCATCTCTTCCAATACCTAATCAACTACTAAAAAATTTTTTTTAAATAAAAATAAGTATCACGTAAGTTTCTATCCATAACTTTAAAGGTTTTCTTTCAAATGAAAAATAAGAATAATCAATTACAAGGAACTGAAAAAACATGTTTTAAACTTTCTCAATTGAGAATTCTATTTACACAAATACAAATACCAGCTTAATTGATTATTTCACTGATAATGACTTTAGGAAAAACACTGTGCATGAACCTACCATTGCATAAAGGTAAAATAAAATTAAAACACTTTCAAAACTGAAATTAATGTTGAGCATTATGAAAGTGAATATAAAGAACCACCATACTGTATTACCTCTTTTAATCCAGTAATTATGCCTGGTTTGGAGTATATTTAAAGTTTTTACAGAAGGGTAAAGGTATCCCACGGTTCAGTAAAGAGGTGCTTTACAATGCAGAGTACCTGTCATGGAGGGCTTATACTGTGTTTGACAAAGGGTATGGAGCTATCTGCAACTTTTAAAAAATACTGCTGTACAGATCTGCAGAAATAAGGATTAGTTCCCTAACCAGGTTTTTATCTTGCTATTTACAGAAAGCCACAATGTTATGGAGAGTCAAGCAATTCATGAAACAGCTGAGTGACTCTCACAGAGGTTCCTGTATTTAAGCACATGAGTCAGGTGGTTAAAACTACGAAGTTTTATAACACCACTCTAGTCAGTAGGGAGTTTTGAATCTGATATTGTCAAGTACTAGACCAAATCCAAAACTGACTTTCTGGTTTGTTACAAACAACGTTGGTAACATTAATAATGTGATAGGCTACACTTTAATTATGTAAATAATGTAAATACATAAGTGCTATCCTTTCCCCAAATGGAGAAAAACTTACAGGAGCTATGCAATTTTTTTATTAGTTTCCAGTATTTGTGATTATTTCTTCCTAAATATCTTCAGATATCCATATGTGGTAATGATGTATCAGACTGAAATTAAAGCCCCAACAGAAAAAAAAAAAGTTAGCTTAGTTTAGAAGTTCTGCACACTTTCTTCTTTACTTGGGTCTTTTTACTTGCCTATTTTATGCAAAACTGATCAGATGGTCTCATAAGCGTGTTCCTTACAGGCTAGAAATGGAAGCTAGGAAGTTTGCGTGTTT